GTGGTGTGGTGTAGTGTGGTGTGGTGTGGTGTGGTGTGGTGTGGTGTGGTGTGGTGTGGTGTGGTGTGGTGTGGTGTGGTGTGGTGTGGTGTGGTGTGGTGTGGTGTGGTGTGGTGTAGTGCAGTGCAGTGCAGTGGAGTGGAGTGTAGTGTAGTGTAGTGTAGTGTAGTGTAGTGTAGTGTAGTGTAGTGTAGTGTAGTGTAGTGTAGTGTAGTGTAGTGTAGTGTAGTTAGTGTAGTGTAGTGCTGTGGAGTGGAGTGGAGTGGAGTGGAGTGGAGTGGAGTGTAGTGCAGTGCAGTGGAGGGCAGTGGAGTGCAGTTGAGTGCAGTGGAGTGTAGTGTAGTGTAGTGTAGTGTAGTGTTACAGAAGTACCGTTGTATAATAGTACAGCTGTACTAGTACTAGTAGCAATAATGAGTAGTCGCTCCCCCGACCAACCACCTCTCCTTCAAACTGTTCTTGCTCCGCCGTGGTGGGTGGTGGCGGGGTGGACAGGTCGGGGGGTGGGGCGGCTCTCAAACAGTTACTTTGTCGCCATTCTAGCTTGGGCTTAGCGGTCGCGCGTCAGCCATGGCCGAAGTGCACTCACCCGTGCGATGATGATGATGATGATGACGATGATGATGATGATGATGATGATTCCCTTTCTGCGGTTTAGAGGGTCCGTTTGCCTGCATACAATTAACTGCTTCGCCACCCTTGTGTTCACGCTTGATGTGTGCGTTTTCCTCCGCACTGTTCCCTGTTCGCCCAATGGTATAAGCAGCAGCAGCAGGAGGAGGAGGAGGAGTAGTAGTAGTACTGATAGCAGCAGCAGCAGCAGCAGCAGCAGCCGCCGCCGCCGCCGCCGCCGGCGGCGGCGGCGGCGTAGTAGTAGTAGTAGTAGTAGTAGTAGGAGGAGGAGGAGGAGTAGTAGTAGTAGTAGGTGGTTGTAGCTGTAGTTGTAGTTGTTGTTGTTGTCGTTGTTGTTGTTGTTGTTGCCGTTGTTGTTGTCGTTGTTGTCGTTGTTGTCGTTGTTGTTGTTGTTGTCGTTGTTGTTGCTGTCGTTGTTTTTGTTGTTGCTGCTGCTGTTGTTGTTGCTGTAGTAGTAGTAGTAGTAGTAGCAGTAGTAGTAGTAGTAGTAGTAGTCGTAGTAGTAGTCGTCGTCGTAGTAGTAGTAGTAGTAATAGAAAGAGGTAGGCATCAGAGTGGGTGTCGGTGGAGGAGGACGAGGAGGAGTAAGAGTAGGAGTCTACTGGATCACTGACTCAAAGCTGTGGAACATTATTCAGTAGCTCAGTGGTCATGCACATGCCTGACAAACCGCAGCCAAGACATGGTGGTTTTATGACGATATGGTGCTAAAGGAATCAGTGGGCACTATTTCCACCCAGCATGAACAGAACCTGAGAAAGTCAGCGTGCGTCGTAGTCGTGGACTCCCGGACACGCTCCGTCAAGCTCGCGGCTGACCCCTCGCCTTGCTGGTCGGGCTGGCCGCTGGGCTTGATGCCTCAGCACAGATACAGTACTGACGACAACTCCACCGATGTTCACCTTCTTGTGAAGGATGGCAACGCAATGGAAGATGGAAGGCCAGATCAGGGCTCGGTCGGATTTAGAAGGAGGTGAGGGAAATGGGGGGATTCAGGTCAATCCTATGTCAGGTCAATCCTATGTCCGTCCAACCTCTGCTTTAGTCACGGGATCGTGCACGCGCACAGGCACTCTCTCTCTGCATCTTGCAATCGAAAAATGCTGTGGAAGTGCATGAATGGGGATGCTGCTTGCCAGCTCCATTGCGCTGATTTGTTACTTCCTGGACGTCCTAAGCGAAAGGTCGAGGGGGGCAAGCGGCTTCTGACGAGGGTTTGATCCAGCCGCACGGAGGCAGGCTTGACCGAGGCTCGACGCACCCCAATCTGGCCCTAGGTCCCTAGGTTGCACGGTCGTTGTTGCCAAGCAGCTGGTCTTTCCGAAGCATCTCCCTGTCAAGACATGAAAAGCACAACCGACACCTTGCAGCCTTAGCAGTATCGGCCACCCTCCTCCGCACGCTCGGTCTCGTGCTTGGCTTTGAAGTGAGCCTCCAATGAGGCCACCAAAGGCACCGATGATGCTGCGTTTCGGGAGAGCTGGAACCTGAAGCTCTTTCTCGATGAGGAGAGATTTCTGCCTTTTGAACTCCGCCTAATGCAATTGCAGAACAAAGTACCAGATTGGTGACAAGCCAGCTTTGCCTTGCGCAGGCCGAACTGTTTAAAGTGTCGCGATATCCTGGATGTAAGGATGACGGATTTTGGGAAGCCCAGCCGTTCAACTACTAACAGCGATCTTCCAGCTGGCTGAGTGGCGCACTGGTTGCTCAGCTTAGTGACCTGAACTGATTTTGATCCGTCTGCCGGCCTGGCCGCGAGAGCAAGGGGATTGGAAGAGCAAGCCGGTGCAATAAACACTCGGTCGCCTGGTTCCCGGAGACATACTTGGACAGAGATGCTGCCGCTGACAGTAAGGCGAACTCTGCTTCACGGCTATGGGAAATCAGAGCTGTCTAATTCAAATACATAAACATAATGTCCAAAGCAGCTAGAGTGTGTGCCTTGGAGGATTTGCGGGTTGCGAGGTTGAACTGCCACCGTTGGATTGTGTAAGGGTCTTCACATCACGTTACCCAATGCGGTGCTGGCAAAATCACGCAACCGACTGCAAAGAATGACTCATCTTGCGGTGCATGCTGCTATCCATGTACTCAAGAGCAGAAAATACATTGAAACGCTTTTGTCCCAAGCAATTCGGAAAGTATAGCTTCAAGGTGTGTGTTTTTCGGATGGCTTTGCATCAAAGATCTTACTAAAAGTACCAATGCAGGAGCCGGGTGCGTCAGCTGACCACACAAAAGCAGCCGTTGTTCGCCTGTCGCAAGAAGCAACGCCCAAAGCCGGACACAGCAGGATTCCTTACAGCTTGACGGCATTGCAGCAAAGCCTGCAGGTGAACTTTGTACTTGTCCAAGGCTTCCTTGTAGTTGCCACACCTTTTGACTTCAAAAGGCTATGCCACTACCAGCAAAGTGGTAACATGCACCATCATGCACCAACTGCGCAGAAGCAGAGCGGTCTCTCTCCGAAAACGCAAAAAGCACATGTCTGCTGGGCTCCGCACAAATGGTCCTTCAGGGCGTTTGTGCCTCCACGCAGCAGCAAGGACCTGGCCAGATCGCGGGAAGGGCTTCGAAAAGCACGAACAGTAGAAAACAGGCCAGAAAGCACTGGAACTCGGCGGCAGAAGCCATGTGTATCCTGCACAGATATGTAAATACTCACTCTGCATGCATCTTCAGCGGCAACTCATGGGCCTCTTACAACTACTATTGTTCCATTGGCTCCAATCAGTCGACTTGCGCACAACTGCTAAGACCACACTCAACTAGGCAGTGCAATCATCTTAACCTTGCTTTCACTTGTTTTGTGTCTCAAACTCTGGTCCCGAACGATTCTCCGCATGGCGCTATGCGTTTTTTCGCCCACCACTGCCAAGTAGCTCACACAGACTTCCGATTATATTTTTTGAACCGACCTTTCCTCGTGGTTGGCTTCGCGCACGCAATTCCTGAAACCATCTGAAATTCGGCTAACATCAGTGTTGCACGAATGATATCTGATAACACTACGAGTACCGCAACTGCTGGTTTTCCAGCAAAGCCCATGATCCCGAACCTCCATGCCGAACTGAAGTTTCATTGGCTCGCTCAGCTTGTGCTGGGGGGTCCCACCCTCCAAGATCAAGCTCGAAATTCAGGACCAGCTTCGTGACTGTCAGTTCCGAAGTGCGACTTCACCCAAAGCTTGTTGGCAAACTCACTGGCCTGTTGAACAAGTTTCGCCCACACCTTCAGCATAAAGAACACATTACATCACAAATTGTATTTGCTCCCGCCGCACTTGCAATTGCACAACAGGCCGACTCTGCGACGGCAGCGATTTTTGAGAGCAGTGCATATGAAAGATAACATGATTGGGGAGTGGGAGGACGCTGACCACAAACAGGTTCGACTCACGAAGCATTGATGCTCGGAGAGCATCGATTTTGATGTGGGCGCCGGGGCGGAGGTCGCTGGCACCACCGGGCAGTGCTATGTGCTCTGACCTGAAATTGGTGATGGAGGCTAACAGACCACGAGCAGAACAAAATACATCGTCCGCGGTTGCCAGATCGTGGCAGAACAAGAGACCTCGTTAAACCAGCAGCATAACTACATGTTTCTGCAAGGCACTGCTACAGCTTCGACCAAGCCGCCATATGTGAAAAGACACTCATACGCCCATCAGGATTGCAGTATGTATCCCGGTTAGCGAGCAGCCTGTGCGTTTCCAATATTACTACGATTCTCCTGGGCGTTCTCTCCGCAGTCGCCTCGGGTGTGTCCTGGTTGCATGACTTCAGACGTGGGCACAAACTGCAGCCATGCCCTCAACAGGTCCTGCACACTGCCAGAGTTACCCAGCCATTCGATCCAGTACACCTTCGGTATCGAGAAATGCTGTCCACTGAGATCCTATTCTGCGCATTGAAATGTGGAAAGCATGATGCATACCGCTGCATACCTGTCCAGGAACGAAAAGTGGAGGGAAGGACCTCGCGACAAGCTTCCGCAACACTGCTCACAGTCCATCGGATCCTGTGGGTCGAGCTCATGGTCCTTCTGCTTCCGCAGTTGTCGGCAATCGTGTACTGTTCCCATCACCTTTTGCAGAGCCTGTCAATTTCGTTGGCTGCTCTTCGAAGGTTCTTGCACGTTTTCCGCTGGCTTTCTCTGGCAGGCCTGTTTTTCTGCGTCATTTTCGGGATTCGGATCTCTCCGCATCAAAATAAAGCGGTGTAAGAAATCCAACTCCAGTCCATCCACTGCCATGCACTCCTGTCCTCAGTCCGTGACCATTCAGTAAGAAGTCAAAAGTAAAGTCCCAAAACAATCAGATCGTGAGTCCCGTGCCGAGGTGAAAAACATTAGCCAGACTGGCTCGTGGCACCTGTCCAGAAGAATCCGCTCTTCCCGTCGGCAATGTTCGACCGAAGCCCTTTCCGAGGTTCACGCTATGTCTGCGCGATTGATGAACGAATGAATCTCCAAAGCCTCTCCATTCTGCGTACAAGCTTGAAGCGCTCAATGAAGCAGATGCTCGGGTGAACATATTGACAAAGCAACTGACCACCAAAAACCAGCAGCGTTCAACCAATCCCTGGCGTTTTGCAGCCGAGTGGCTCTCAGGCTTGGGTTATTTAAAGGTCCAACAACAGGCGGTGGCGCAAAAGCAAAGCATTTCATGGCAGGTCGAGAATCAAGCGGATTGACCTTCGCGGCAGAAAACACCCGGAGAGCATTTTGCGAGTTGATCCTTGTTATCACTCTGAGAAGCGAGCATTGAGAAGGATCGTGCAAAGTATGGCAGTGCCGGCTCCAAGACTGTGCCCGGTGATGACAAGGCTGTAGCCTGGCCAACTGACACAGAGGCGGCATCGGCTGTGCCAATGAAAACTCGGCACCTGGATTTTCTTTCAGTGCTTCGTTCAAAGCCGACCGCGTTCGTTCAAGAACAGCCCGGGCGCTGGCCTGGGAAGGACATGCAAGCAGATAGCAAGGCAGATCGCCAGGAGGTTTCTGTCTCAAAGGCTCAGACAAGCATTGCTTTATGGGCAAGAAGCCCGGAGCATTCCGGAACCTGCAAAAGAGTGCAGCTCCTGGTTGAAGCCAAGCAAGATCTTGAAACACCGCCACTAGAAGAATGATGAAACGTGCCTTCGCAGCGTCACCCACTGCATCAGTGAGTGCATCGCACAAAGTCGTGGTTCCGCGGATGCCCAGAACCACCGCGTGCTTTGTCCTCAAAACACTGTGGCGTCAGCTGACATCATGGCTCCGATTGAACACAAAGCAACACATGTCCAACTGTTGGCCGCGACGTGCGAGCGCACACATGGAAGAGGTTGCAAATAAGATGAACGACACACACACCATTCGAGCTGCTTAGCTTCTTCTGGCACCATACTTGAAGGTTGATACGTGTTTACAAGAAATACAAAACTTATAAAAGCAGTTATATAACTTGTGTAAACGGATTTATTCATGCAGTTATCTGGAGTTATGTAAATCAACTTTTCGGACTTAGGTCAGTGGGATAAGTAGACATATCAGATGACATATCAACAAACAACATAGATGATGCCACGTACACATATCTTCTGGCAGAAGCACAAGAGGACAAGTGAGGCCACCGAAGCCGACATCACAATACACATGAGTGAACCCAGGTCTTCATAAGGCAATCGCCAAAGTAAGCATTGCATATATACTCTGAGAAATTTACGCAGTGCAACTTTACACACAATAAAATGGCGTGCGCATAATTCATGCATGCATGCACTCGTGACTTGATGAAACTCGCATGCAGGGCAGCCTGCTCGCATGCAGACATGCATTCATGACTAAAAAAGATTCGTATGCAAGGCACATTACTCGCATGCAGCTTGTCTGCAACAACACCAAAACGATCTCTTTGCCATCGGTCTCCGAATGAATGCAGCACGATTTGACTTTGTCTGTCTCCGTGATAAAGAAGTCCTTGCCTGCGCAATCAAACATGTCCTCAAGCACAGGCTTCCACGGTGTGACACAAGACCAGACCTGACCTTGGAAGTGAAACTGAACTAGGCCAACAGACGTACCTTCAAAAGCCGCGACATCACCTTTCGCACACACAAAGCCGCCACAATGAATGGCCCACAAGTCATGCAGGGTCCCGATGCGTACGGCATGACCGAATGGACGAATGCAACGAGGATCTTCGGGCGGGCTTGGGGTTCATCAGCCTCACCTTTGAGGACGGAACTTCTGCAGACATGCAGCTCAACCGGACTGCCAGCACGTCCTTGGGGACACTCTCCTCAAACGAAGCCGAGCCGTCGAGTTTTTGGTGCGAATCGTTTCACTACTTTGTGTTTGCGTTCGTGGGTGAAGCACCACACCAGACGGCCGAATTAACTGAGAAACTCGCCTAAGTGTAGCGACATGTGGCTTTTCCGTACCCGCACAGCTTCGCGTCGGCAGCGGGAGTGCTTCACGATGGCATCGGGCTCTGCACCCGTCGGCACAGGAGGCATACATACATATACATTACCCGACCGGGCCCCTCTTCTTCTTCTCATCATCCTGCCTCCCTGGCCTGGCCCCTCTTCTTTTTCGTATCCTCCGCCTTTACATCCTTCGCCTCCGCCTTGCATGAGCATGAAGATCGAACTGGGCTATACACCTTTTATTAGAAGGTTCTAATATTACTCATATGTATGTATATATATATATATAGATATATATTATAGATATAGTATCATAGATGCAAAGATACATAGGAATTAAATAATTGGATATATATGTATACAAGTGTATAGATATGTAGATACTTAGATATAGAAATATATAGCGATACAGAGATACATCTATATAGATGATGCATCTATGTAGAAGGGTTTAGGGTCCTAAAGGAAGGCTTAAAAAAAATACAGAACCCCAAACTCCTACATAAACCCTAAAAGCTGGAAAGCCCCACAAGCCCGAAACCCTAACAACCTAACCGCCCCAAACCCTAAAAATCATAAGCCTTAAACCCTAGAAACCATAAGCCCTAAACCCTAGCCCTAAAAACTCTAAGCCTTAAAACCTAAAACTTAAAAACCCTAAATCCGAAAAAACTTAAACCCTAAACCTTGAATACTTAAAAGCCCGAAACCCTAAACATCAGACGCCCTAAACCCTAAAAACCATAAGCCCTTAACCCTAAAAGACCCAAACGCCTCAAACCCTAAAAATCATAAGCCCTAAACCCACCCACCCGAAACCGTAAAACCCTAAGCCCTAAACCCTAAACATCACAAGCAAAAGTCCAAAACCCTCAAAACCATACGCCCTACACCCTAACCCTAAACCCCAAAAAACCCTAAGCCCTAAACACCTCAAGCCCTAATAAACCCTAAGCCCCAAGCCCTACTCAAGTTTTAAACCCTAAAACCTAAAGACGGGACATCCCCATCGTGTGGTTGGCCCGATGTGGCCTGAGCTGCTTGTTGGGTTTGCTGCGGCGTGTGGGGCTGGGCAGTGAGTGGTGTGTCGTGGTTGGCCAGGCTCTGGTGGTTGTCGTTGGCCGGCTGTAGAAGATCTGCTGTGGGGGTCCATGGTCGGTGCGTATGGGGGTTGTTGGGACTGCTGTGGGCCGGTTCCTGTAGTCGGCTGTGGTTCGGTCCTCCTGGCTTGTGCGAGCCGTGCTTTGTGGCTGTCGTGGTTGTTGAGTTTGGCAGGGGTCAGCTGTCGGGGGGTCAGCTTGTGCTGTCCGGGGTCAGCTTGCTGCTGCGGTGGGGGGGGAACCAGGCAAGCCGCGCCATGTCTCCGGCCTGGCTTCTAGCAACCTTCTATCATACTGCTGCTTGATGATCACCAGCCAGTGCTCTGGAACGGCCGCTCTGGCTCTGTTGATGCAGTGGTAGCCCAGGCTCTTAGTGGCACGACAGTGACCTTGTGCCCAGGGCGACGGTGGTGCGGGTGGCCGGTGGAGGGTGCACTGCTGCCGCTGGTGCTGTTGGCCGCGCTGGGTGCTGCTTCCCTGCTGCTGCGTGAGTGGCTTGCCGAGGAGGACTGTGCTATGGCCCATTCGCGTATGGTGGGCTCGTTGTTGTGTCTGCGCGGGCGGGCGCGGTGTCTCGAAGCTGCAGGTGGTCCCCGATCAGCCGCTTTTGGGGAGGGCTCGGAGGCGAGGGGGTAGGGGCACTTCGGGTGGCAGAGTTGCTGAGACATCCAATCATGTTGGCCCCCGCACGAAGAGTGCTTTGTATTGCCCAGCTGTCGGTGTTGCGGATGTCCGGGCCGCCCTGGGGCATCACACCGCGTGTGGCTGGAAAGGTCTTGCCCCTTCTTGTCTTCTTGGGCCACGACTTTGTGTTTGCGTTCCTGGGTGAAGCAACACACCAAGTGGCCGATTTTCCCAAGAAATTCGCCTAAGTGTAGCGACATGTGGTTTTTCGGTAGTGGGCAGTTGGAGTTGCCGTCGACCCAGAACTGCTCCCCAAGCCTGCAACGGTGCACCCGTCGGCACAGCAGGCGGGGGCACCCGGGACCCTGAACTTCACGAGGTTCCCTCACCCTTCACCCCGGGCAGTGGTGCCGGCCACCATGCCTGACCAAGCGGATGGGAAGGCCAATCCCGGCAGCAATTGGCTCGGCTCCTCGACCATCCTGACCACCCGAAAAGTCGGTCATCAGGCTCCCGCACACCCCTGCGCGGTGGGCTTAAGCATGCAGTGCATTGCATGTGTGCCTGGTGAAAGTAGACTGGCCTCTTCTTGGGAGGAGTCCCGGGCTCCCTTGGCCCCCTTCCGTCCACCTGCCACGAACTCGTAGAGACACATATATACGTTACACGACATCTGCCTCCCCGGGCCCCTCTTCTTCTTCTCATCATCCTGCCTCCCTGGCCTGGCCCCTCTTCCTTTCGTATCCTCCGCCTTTACATCCTTCGCCTCCGCCTTGCATGAGCATGAAGATCGAACTGGGCTATACACCTTTGACTAGAAGGTTCTAATATTAATCATATATCTATATATATATATTATATAGATATAGACATAGATGCAAAGATACACAGGTGTATAATAATTGGATATGTATGTATACAAGTGTATAGATATGTAGATACTTAGATATAGAGATATATAGCGATACAGAGATACATCTATATAGATGATGCATCTATGTAGAAGGGTTCGGGTCCTAAAGGAAGGCTTAAAAAAATACAGAACCCCAAACTCCTACATAAACCCTAAAAGCTGGAAAGCCCCACAAGCCCGAAGCCCTAACAACCTAACCGCCCCAAACCCTAAAAATCATAAGCCTTAAACCCTAGAAACCATAAGCCCTAAACCCTAAAAACTCTAAAAACTCTAAGCCTTAAACCCTAAAACTTAAAAGCCCTAAATCCGAAAAACCTTAAACCCTAAACCTTGAATACTTAAAAACCCGAAACCCTAAACATCAGACGCCCTAAACCCTAAAATCCATAAGCCCTTAACCCTAAAAACCCAAACGCCTTAAACCCTAAAAATCATAAGCCCTAAACCCACCCTGACCTGAAACCGTAAAACCCTAGGCCCTAAACCCTAAACATCACAAGCCTTAAACCCTAAAACCTAAAAGTCAACCCTCAAAACCATACGCCCTAAACCCTAACCTTAAACCCCAAAAAACCTAAGCCCCAAGCCCTACTCAAGCTTCAAAGCCTAAAGACGGGACATCCCCGTCGTGTGGTTGGCCCGATGGGTTTGCTTCGGCGTGTGGGGCTGAGCAGTGAGTGGTGTGTCGTGGTTGGCCAGGCTCTGGTGGTTGTCGTGGGCCGGCTGTAGAAGGTCTGCTGTGGGGGTCCATGGTCGGTCCGTATGGGGGTTGGGACTGCTGTGGGCAGTTTCCTGTAGTCGGCTGTGGTTCGGTCCTCCTGGCTTGTGCGAGCCGTGCTTTGTGG